TGTTTTTTTAGGATTTTTAATATGTTGTATAGAAGTTAAATTAATGTTGCCGCTACTTTAATTACTGTTAGATGTCCTTTTAGTTCTTCCTTTCCCGTTATCAATAGCTCATTTGAAATCGTATCAGTGATATGCGTATTGTCTGGTTGCATTTGTGAAAACAATAGGGCTAAGCATGGTTCATTGATCCGTCGTTTTCGGAAGAGTTTTGGATTCATGTCGTTAAAGTTTCGCACTTCATTCGGCAAATACTAAAGCTCACTAACCCACCCACACTAAGTCGATTTTAGCTACCCTCAACACGACTACCCTTGGAATCTCAGGGTCAGTTACTTAAAATGTTTATAGTTTCTTGCCAATGAAATAAACCATATAAGACGCAGATTCAAGTATGAGTTTACTTTTACTAGATCTATGAATTAGAGGAATCATAAGTTTTGTTTTGATTGGTTATAGTTTCTCGGCAACGAATAAACTATAAGATGCCGTATTCGAGTATGAGTTTACTGTTACTAGATCTAAGAATCACTGGGATCATGAGTAATATTCCGATTGTTTATAGTTTCTTGGCAACAAAAAAACTATAACATGCCGTATTCGAGTATAAGTCTACTCTTACTAGATCTATGAATCACTCGAACTATGATTGTCATTCGAATTGTTTATAGTTTTGGCAACGAAAAAACTATAAGATGCCGTGTTCGAGTATGAGTTTACTCTTACTATATCTATGAATCACTCGAATCATGAGGTAAGGTCCCTCCCACCCAGGAGTAATTTATGTCGCCTGACAATAATCCTCTCCCATCTCCACAGTGTCAATCTTAGTCATACGACAACAAGCCGAACTCAAATTTCGGAAATTCAAACTTCTCGCCTCATTAAATACGACATCTCTGATTGGTTCATAACTAGTTGGTTCAGCGATTCTCTCTTTAGTTTAGAAGACAATTGATGACCATAAAAGGCAATTTTAGATTTAACGCTCTGATGGAGATTGCAACCATATAACTGATACGATTATCAGGGCCGGGAGCTTTATGTTTCTTTAGGTTACTTAGAACTTCAYATACTWCTTGRTCTGTAATGGAAAAATCTAATTCCCCTTGACTTTGCGACTGTTCTAAGGTCTCCGTAGTATTTACTCCAGATGTCTGAGAACTATTAAGCATCTTGAATTAATTAAATAAGTCCTTTTCGTTTGCACGACAGGAGTTTGTATTTTTTGCTTTGCCTACATTAAAAAGTTGTTTCAAAGCCTTCCAGGTGGATTTCGAATCTTTGAGGTCAAGGTTCATTAATTTTGAATTGAAATATTTGTTTTTCTTACGTCTACACATGCTTCGAAAGGACCTTTTATGGGTATGTAGATTCCTACGAGGTTGTTCATTATTTGGATTCCTACAAATTCGTTTTCCAAGAGATCGAAGATTTTTCTTTTCGTTTTCACATTCTGAATCAAACCACTTTTGTGAATCTGTATTTTCTTYAAATGCTTTAGTTTGTTTAGTTAGGGAACAAAGACCTGCTTCTGTTCCTATGCTTGTTACGGTTTCAGTAAATGCCTTAACCATTGAGTCTACATTATCTTCATTTTCTATTGATTCGCGTAGCGTTGCTTGTGTTTCTGTAGTACTTAAAATGTTTTGTAATTTATCGATATTTCCAGTATGCCACTTTAAGCTAGAAATTGTCGAAAATTCCCTATTTTCTTCTCTTTCTTTGTTTCCACTGTTTTTGGGGGAAAGTTGGATTTCTATTCCATAAGAAATATGAMAATGATCGGATAGATCTGGCATTAGTGGATTAACCTTCAAAAATCGAGCTTTTTCAAGTAGATTTGTACTCCCGATTACATAGTCGACTAGACTATTTCCGTTGTATCGAAAACAAGTCTTTTTGCCCATCAAGTCACCAACAACCCTACCGTTAAAGATTCGTAAATTGCAAGCCGTCCAAATATCTATTAGGCATTTACCCCTTTTATCGACGTTCTCTTTGTCTTTAGAGTACCTTTTCATTTGATTGTCGATGAGATAGTCATCAGGTAAATTAAGTTACTTACTGTCATCATCATTTATGTATTCCTGGATTTCCCCAGTTCGTGCATTAAAGTCGCCTTGTAGAATGACTTCAMCTTTMGTTGAAAAATTRATTATATCTAGTTCTATATCCTGCAATATATCTTCATTATTCTCTTTAGCATAATTATTTGGGCTTAGGTAAATTGTGCCTACGTATATGTCATTTGTTAGATAGAAAAAGTCTTTACTTATTCTACACCAAATAACATTTTGGTTAGACGTCGGTATATAGGAAACGCCCTTGCTGATTCTATTGTTTATGTATAGTGCTATTCCTCCAGCATGGCGGTTTCCTGTTTTGTCACGACATTTTGTATAGTACTTATAGTCTTCTAATTTCAAGTCAGAATCAAGGCTGTCGTGTGTTTCTACAATGCCAAAAATGTCATGACTATTAATTATATTATTGACTTCTTTTAGCTTCAATTTGTTTCCAAGATTTTTGCTGTAATGCCCATGCAAATTCCAGAGTCCTAATCTTAAGGCCTGTGACGCTGTTCAGACCGGTACTGTTTTTTACTAAGTATTGCGCCTTCCTTCCCAGGGAAAATAAGAGAAACACAGAAGTAATATTCTAATGACAGCATTTATTAAGAAAACGAACCTTAACGATAAACGATAAACTTAAATAAAGCGCTAAACTAGAAACTTATAATACTAACTTATTATACTAACTTATTATACTTGATTCAGAGTTCTGGTTCGATGCTCAATGTTCAATGTTCAATGTTCAATAACTGCTCACCCAAACCTTTGCTGTCGTTAAACTTCCACCAACAATTTCTCTTGTGTCTCTTAACCCACTACTCTGTCTTCGAATAGTTGACGAGGTTCCTTATATCCTGCTCCTGCTCCTCACAGCTCTTGTACGATCTTTCGTTGAACAGAACAACTGACTCCAAAACAACTGAACTGACTTACGAAATATTGTTCCATATTTAATGAAACTCTAACAATAGAAAGACTTAATAGAAAAGCCTAAAATATAAAGGATTATGTCATTTCTTTCTTCTTACTAATCCTTACAAATCCTTGAAAAGCGCTGCCATTAGATTATTATATTTTAACTCTCGAGTGGTTTCAATTATTTCGTCACAAGGCCCCCGGCATTTGAAACAAATTTAAGAAAAAATTCTACGTTTTAAATTCTATATTATATATATATATATAGCGACACTCTTTTAAACAAGCGATCCGAATTGATCTCCAAATGCCGACATGAAAACAAGTTCTATCTGATGAACAATAGAAATCCAGGCCTAGCTAATTAACTCCTTTCCGAACAATACTTCTTTTGTAAATAATCATTACACCTCTTGTATATAAATATCACAGTAATAGGAATATGTTTCATTA